CGATCGGAGTCCTCGCGTCTGCACACGGACGTAGCTCGCGCGATGACGGGGCCGACCGTGCGATGCGCTGCGGTGGCGGGATGGGATCGCGGCGCGCTGGCGAGGAGCAAGGGCGCGCGCGTCCGCAAGGGATATGGCCGGCGAGTGGTAGGCACCCAGCGACGGCGGTGAGCAGCCGGCCGGTCGACCGTGAGGATCGGCGGCGGCGCGATTTAGGGTTAGCGGAAGCGAGAGGCCGCGGAAGCGAACCGTCTCATGATACCATGAAAGAGTATGATTAGGGGAATACTCAATGTATTACTCAGGCATAGTCAGTGTACATATATAGGCTAAGTGGGGAGTCATGGTAAACAGGCCCACGAGCCCAATTACATTCCAACAGTGCCTACCCTGTGTCCCTCCGTCCAACTGCATGATCCTGGGGAAAGTTGGGTTGCGGTACGTGTAGCAGCATGGCTTTAGTAACACAGAGGACCCGATTCCTCTTTTATCCATGTATGTTCAGGTTCGGTAGAGAGGCGTCATGATTTTGCTTCACTAACAGTTTATGCAGCAAATGTTATTCCTCGATCGGTAGCTGCTCAGGACGAAAGCAGTGTCCGTCGTCGGTTTCTTTCTCCTCGCATCTGCTTAAAGCACAGCTTGACAGTGATATCAGAGATGGGAAACGGAGCACCTTAGAAAACGGAACACATCACTGCTATATGCATTTGCATTGGGGGAAGTAAAATATATAATCGCTATATGTCATTCACGGAATCGGCAGAGGATTAAAGCGCAAGCAACCTTAATCAAAGAAATGTGTAGTAATCCTCATGATGCGCAGGCATTATATATCGCGAATCAAATCAGGCGCGATCGAAGTTTGTTATAGCACGCTTTTCGGTGAGATTTTTTACTCTAGTTTTTAGGAGCATAATATTACCACTCCCTCGCTGTCGTAAGAGTGCGTAATTTTACAATGTCTGCAGGCCAACATACGTCCTTTTTTTATCTACAATTTTGCTTGGCGAGTATGGTAAGAAAGAGATGGATGTGTGATGGGGTAGCATAGCAGCCACACAGGACTACAGGAGAGGGAGACCGGTCCACAGCATATTATTATTATGCATGCATGCACGCAGCATCCATGACTATGATCCATGATGCCGATCGATTTCGGCCAAGCTAGATTCCTCGCTAGGCATATAAGTCGTACTTTTTCAGCCAACGAACGGTATTTTTTTTCACAATAAATCAACCAACGATACTTTTAACCATGCCTTATCAGCGAACAAGACAAATAAGTCCATGCTGTCCCCATGTGCCGACTGCCGATCCGATATGGTAGGGTAGCGATTGCCTACTTGAGCAGTCTCGAGATACTGTACTCTAGTAGACAGCAGGCAGCAGAGAGCCCACCGTGCAAGTGCAATGCATGCCATGGCAGCGTCGGCACGGAGATGGATGGATGGATGGATCTAGGCCGGCAGGGGACGCAGGAGGCATGCACAAGACTCTATGCTTGCCTCTTCCATGGACCATGATTGTTACAGTATATTAACTGGCGGAGGAAGCAACAGGTCAGAGGGCGCAGGAACCGGCTGGCTGGCCGCCGGGAGGGAAGGGGAAGAGGATACTCCTAGATCGAGGATGCATCACTGCTCCGTCGTCGTCTCTCGTCTGCTCCGAGCAGAATGCAGAACCTCTCCATCGCTCATGGGCCTCATCATGAACCCGCTGAAGACAATGCATTGGGGTTGGAGAAGCAGGCTACAGAGGCGGCTCTCTTTTACAGTTCTACTCGTGTCCTTTGATCCTGGCGAGCCTAATGACTACACCAATGATTCCTGCTCGCACGCTCTAGGCAACAGCTGCTATAGTAAATAATAAAAAAAACAAAAAGAGCTGAAGAATTAAAGAATCCATCCACGGCATCCAAGAGATAACAATACGTTCATTAACAAGCTATCGACGACAGTGACCCAGTAATACTAGTCATTTGATAAGCTCACTGCACACTTTGCGTGCGTGCGTAAAATGATCGGCCGGGTGAGCGAGTCGTCGACTGCTTTGCTTGTCCACGGAAAAAGGCAAGGGCGACAGCGTTGGAATCGGATCCTATTCCATTCCATTTCCCGGCTTCAGCCAGCCAAGCCAACCACTCGATCGTCCTCGCCGCAGCTCCGTGGGCCCCCGGCAGCCGCTACCGCTAGAAGAGGCCCACGCGAGCGGACAACCAGCCCGAGCCCGCCACGAGTCACCAAACAAAGGAGCGCCTCTTCCTTTTCTCGAGCCAAAAATCACACGCCAGCGAAGTCCGAGACTGCAGAGTTTTTTTTCCCAACATCACGCCACTGGATTGTATTGGATTGCCTTGCTAACCAAAAAACGCTACCTGTATTTTACTTGCTACGAATGGTCCAACTCAAACCTGCAAATCACACGTTCCCTCGTAGATAGATAGTAAAATAAAATGGTGAATGGAGATCCTTCTAATAATAAAAAATCATGGTTTGAGGTGTTTGATTGGTTAGAGTACATTATTTCAAAAGATGCAACATTTTGCTTGTATTGCTATCTTTTGTTTGAGCTGACAAATCCAAAAAAAATTGGAGCAATGTCTTTGCAAAGTCTAGGTATAACAACTGGAAGGAGGCTATACACAATATTGCAAGGCTTAAGTGCGAAGACTTTATGAACCAAAGAACAAATATGCCTTAGCGAACTAAGTGTAGCCTAGCTAGCTAGGTTTCTTACGGTGGAACCTGCTTATCGGGCTCCAACTCCTTAACTTGACGTGGGTGCCCACATTCCCTTTGAATTATTCTAGGATTAGCGGCGCTATTATTTTAGTGTTAGGCGACGTATCTGTCGATAGCGAGTTGCCTGTGGTGGCTTTATCAATATCGAGATCTGTCGGTCCACTAAATGTTACTTGTCTTGATAAGGGTAAATTTAGAGAGATGATTAATTGCTATAAAGACAAGAGAGGGAAGGTGAATACTACATATGAGAAAGGATTTTGCATGGTGTAAAATAGTATCTCAAAGGTTTTGCACGGTGTAAAATAATATCTCATCATATTCAAAGAACCTCACATCGAGTCAAAACCGTGATTTTGGATGAGATTGGAGATAGGAACTTCTCTGTGTTTATTGATGAGTCTTGAGATATCTCCGTAAAGGAGTAGATGGTAGCGATTTTAAGATCAAAGGATTGCATTTTATTTATGCTAGTATAATTTTATATATTTTGTAGTGACAAGTAATGACATTGGATAAATTATCATGTACTTTGATTGTGAATGATCAAGGAAAGCTTATGGAAATGTTGCTTGGATTTCATCAAGTGGAAAAAATGTATATCTATTGCACTGAAAGAAGCTTTTGAACATGAGAGGTGAATTTAGTGGTGTGCAAAAATTTATTCCAGTGAAAATCCTTATGCTTTTCTATGAACATTGTTTCGCCCATCAGTTGTAGTTAGTGGTTGTTACGATTGCACCTATTGCTCCACAATTTGCAGGTTTCCTTAACTATATCCCTTTGATAGTGAATACTATGGGCTGCATCTTGATTAGAAAGGATATCTTACTTGCATCATGTTTTGTTAGATTGGAAAAAGTAGAGAAAGATGATATTAACACTGGAACACGACTAAAGCAAGAAAGTAGCCTTGCTAGTCCTGTAGAGAGGCTATCTGTAGGTGCTTGAGATTGTAAAGCAAGACTCTGTTAAACCAACATTAAATGGTGGAGCATATGGTCTATAATTGGTAAAATGGATAGTTTTGATTTTTGTATCCATGTTGCATTTGATGATTGACTTATTGAGCATTACATGCTTTGGAAAGGAAGGAACAAAACAATGTTGAAGCAATGAGTTTGATCATGGATATGAAAGGTAAATTGTGGGATGTGAAGTCCTTCTGCGATAGGAATGAGATTTAAAGTTCCAAAAATGGACAAAGAAGAAATACTAGAGGGACATCTACATGTAGAAGGCAAAAGGGTGACAAGTATGCATTTCTATGATGTTTGGTAATTTATTGGTGCCATCGATTCAATTTTTCTATATTTAATTAGCCAATTTAGAAAGCTGTTGGAGAGTATTTTTGTATCAAAATATTTATTTCTAATAATTATGAAGGATATAAAGAGTCTTTTGAAGTCGCTTTTACGAAGTAAAGTGACTTAATGAGTGCTTAATCATGAAGTATTTTCCTCGGAAGCTCTAAATTCTTGAGGAAATTCCCTCGAGTAATTTCAAGCTAAACCAAATCATCTTGTCTCCTGCAGCATATACATATAGCCATTGACGTTTGCTTAATTGTCGTTGTACCATAACTTTACAAGTTTGGTTTCTCCTGCAGCATATACATATATACCCGCTCACCACTCCTTTATTCTCCGGAACGATCAGCGCATTTGGTTGGTTGGTTTCAGATCGTTCTTCAGTATTAAATCATGTGAGAGAAATGATCATTTGGTTAATTCGGATGAACAGTACTCGTGTGAGAGGGCTGGCCAGCCCAGCCAGCCCAGCGATCACGCTGGATCTCTAGATATTTTGTAAAAAAAACCAAATCAAAACAGGAAAAGAAAAGGTGCGGCAGCGGCACAATTCAACGGGAAAACTTTGGGCCCCAGAAATCTCCATTGTGAAAAATCTAACACTGTCTCTGCTAAAACATTTTCAATTTGTTGTATAATAGTAATACTAAAAAGAAAAGATTAGTCACACAAGAATCCAACGTAACACCTGGTCCACTCCTAGGTCCCAGTCCCATCCCTCCTCTCTATCCGTCCCCCTCCTGGACAAATTAGCCGGCACAAGTATAAATGGCAAGCCGCCACCGGCAGCGCCGCGACCGGACAAAATCAAACTTAAGCCACGGCCCACGGACAAGCCCGCCGCAACAGCGCGGCGCCCTCCTTCACCCGCGCCACCACACCAGCAGGAGGCAGGAGGCAGGAGCCTGGAGGAGAGCGCGCGGGCGGGTGGGGCAAGTACACGTTGATGGCATCAACCGCCATCCCGCCGCCGCCGCCTCCGGCGGTGCCGGAGCGGAGACTGCCGCTGGTGCCGCGGCTGGCGGACGATGGCGGCGGGGGCGGAAGGGGCGACGACGCGCGGGGGAGTAGTGCGGGAGGGAGCGGGAGCGGGAGCGGGAGCGTGGCGGGCATCTCGCCGAGCATCCTCATCATCGCGGTCATCGTGGTGGTGATGCTGCTCGCGTCGCTGTGCATCCACTACTTCATCCGCCACCTCCGCCGCCACGTGGGCCTAGCGGGGTCCTCCGCTTCGTCCCGGCAGGCGCCGCCGCTCCCGCTCGTGGCGCGCCCCGCGGCGGGGGCGTCCGTGGCGCCCGCCGACGGCCAGGAGGGGGGAGGAGGAGGGAAGGCGGCGGCCGCGGCAGAGGCGGAGGCGGAGCGGCTCATCGCGCGCCTGCCGCTGTTCACGCTGTACTCGTCGCTGGCCTCGGTGCCCAAGTCGTCGAGCGACTGCGCCGTGTGCCAGAGCGCATTCCGCGACGACGACGAGCTCCGCCTCCTGCCCGCCTGCCGGCACGCCTTCCACTCCCGCTGCGTGGACCCGTGGCTGCGTGCCAACCCGTCCTGCCCGCTGTGCCGCGCCTCCATCGCGCTGCCCCACCCGCCGCTCACGGACCTCCTCCGCGTGGAGCTCGGCAGCGTCAGCAGCCGCCGCTCCAACCCGGACGCTGCGGCTGCCGCCGTCCGCGCGTACCCGCTCCCCGGTGGCCTCCCCAACTCGGCGTCGTCAGAGTACCTCGTCGAGGAGGAGCTCCAGGTCGTGCTCAAACCGAGCCCGCGCGCCGCCGCCGCCGGTTCCAGCGACCCTCCAAGCCAGCAGCCGCATCAGCATCAGCAGCACCAGCTCACCGCGGTGGAGCGCGGGCAGCCGTCGTCGTCGTCGTCCGTGGGCCTGACCCCTACGGCATCGTTCAGGTCGACGGCGGAGCGGTGGAGCAGCAGGTGGAGCAACCGGTGGAGCAGCGGGCGCTGGAGCAGCCGGTACGACGCCGGGACCGTGACGGCCGCGGCCACGGCGGAGTGGTGGTGGGACATGGACGGCGGCGTGGCCCCCGCGACGCGGCGGAGGGACGTGGACGACGGCAGCGCGTCGTTCTACGGGTTCGTGCGGTGGCTCACCGGGGCATACTAGTAAATACGGTCGTACGGTGCTAGCATAATACTCCAGCATCCATGGAAAGCGGAGGAAACTTGCTTCGCCCCTGCGGCGGCGGCGGCGGCCGGCGACGGGCGGTGTTCCCGAAAGGCCCTCCTCGTCGTCTTCGTGAAACGAATCGAAATGAACTGGGAGTGCCTGTCTGTCTGGTTCTTCTTTTCGGCATGCGAGCGTCGAATTTTTATTTTGCTTATTTTTTGTTTTGGTTCTGGGGCGGGCCGGGTGGATTTCGAGGACGGAGGAGATGCCCCGTTCGCGGGTTTCAAAACTGCTTCCGAATTGGAGAATGTCGGCGGGAAGAATGAGGACGAATGAATTTGTGGACTTTTAGGCAGAAGATGCACAGCAGTCTCGGCCAGTCGAAAGAAAATGGTAGAAATTTGGGGGGCTTTTGCTGCATTTTGATTTGGGTTGATTTGTGGTACTCATCATTTGTGTACGTACAGTGTGTATGCATGTACTAGTAGCGTGGATTGGCCATTTTTGCATAGCAAATAAATTAGCAAATGTCGTAGGAGACGTCCTACTCCATCACCTATGTTTATCTCAATTCTCATGCTATGGTGGCGCACATTTACAAAGCGAAAACTTGGTACTAACTGCACTCATCATATGTACCATGCACTATACTTTTAGATTGTTTATACCGCTTGATGCACAATGAACGGGTGCATCTCAATCACATCCTGTGCTTGTCATACGAGTAGGGAGTTGAAGGGTGTGCAATTCTACTAGAGCACTGTGCAAAGAAAGAGTGCACCAGCAGAGAGAATGCACATCCTTACACTGCAGGTCCATGAGATTACTGCCTGCAAGAACTCCCTCTCAAGAGTGCACCAGCAGAGAGAATGCAATGCACATGGGATACAGCAGCACTGGGCTTTCAGTCTTAGTCCTGCCTCCCCCAGTCCCCACTGCCGCTAACAACTACTATTGGTACTGGCCCATGGCCTGGCCGCCTAGCCGCTAACAATACTATTGGCTCCGCGCGCTTCGCTATCCCAGTTAGGGCGCGTTTAGATGTATTTTTTTTTTTTTCTCCTACTGTAGCACTTTTGTTTGTATTTGACAATTAGTGTCTAATTATGGACTAATTAATTTCGAAAGTTTCGTCTCGCGATTTCTCACCCAACTGTGCAATTAGTTTTTTTTTCGTCTACATTTAGTACTCCATATATGTGCCGCAAGATTCGATGTAATGGGTACTGCGCAAAAATTTTTGGAACTAAACAGGCTCTTAACATAAGGCCCCGTTTAGATGCGAAAATTTTTGGCTTTTGGTTACTGCAGCACTTTCGTTTGTATTTTATAAAAATTGTCCAATTATTAACTATTTAGGTTTAAAAGATTCGTCTCGCCAATTACGGGCAAATTATGCAATTAGTTATTCTTTTTACTTACGTTTAATGCTTCATGCATATGTCGCAAGATTTGATGAGACGAGGAATCTTAAAATTTTTTGAATTTTTAGGTGGGATCTAAACAGGGCCTAACTAGAAAGGGCATCGTTTTGACTGTACGCGCGCTCTGGCTTGACCTGCCTTGTCCCTCACTCGTCCTTTGCCACTGTGGATCGGAGTGAAGCTGGAGTGGACGAGAGGGAGGAGAGCTCGTGTCGCTTTTGGTGGTGGAAGGCTTTGTCCTTGCTCTGAACCTCTCAACTGTACCTACTGCATGCTTCAGCCAAGGGGGTTTTGCCATGCATGTGGTACGGCATTGCCTGGCTTGGCTACCTTGTGAAAGCAAGTGTTGTTTCGCATGCATTGGCCCTCCCTGCCTGCCATGCCAATGCTCTCTTCTTTCTTGTGTGAGCTGTTGGAGGCCGTTCCCCTTATCGCTTGGCTGATAAGCCATGACCGAAAGTACTGTTGACTGATTTATTATGAGAAGAAAATATTGTTCGTTGACTAAAAAATACGACTTATAAGCAAAAGGAACAGCCCCCCGTTCCCCTTATCGTTTGGCTAATAAGCCATGACCGAAAGTACTGTTGACTGATTTATTATGAGAAAAAAATACTATTCATGGACTATAAAATACGACTTATAAGAAAAAAAAACCCCCGCGGTAAGGGTGAGACGAGACTGGCAGAGCACCAAGCAAGCACCGTGGCTAGGCTAGCGAGCGAGCTACTCCACTCCTTCCTATAGCTACGAGCACTGACCGTGACCGAGTGACTGATGTCTTGAATTTGTTTTTCTCAAGGCCAAGGGGGACAAGGGCAAGAGACAAGGCCAAAAAAGCAAAAGGCCTGCTTCTGGACTCTGCAATTTCCTCCTTTCTCTCCTTTTCCTTTCTCTTTTCTTTTCAATTTTAACTTTCCTTTCGTTTCAGCTGATCCATCCATATATACGACGGTCTCCCCCGGGCTTTATAAGTTTGAGCTAAATTTTCGTGACCCACGCAGCCATGCTGCTGGAGCTCAGTGATTAAGTCGAGTCAAAAATATTTGACGACGTCGATGCATGATGAACGTACTACACCAACTGTTGTGACCATTGACCGCTCACAAACACTGGATGCAACTCTGCTGCACACAGGGTCCCTTTTTCTTCTCCCATGCATGCATGGCCTGCCTGACGAGCTGTTTGCGGCTCAAGTCTGTACATGTGGAGACAGTGGAGTGGACCAGAACTGATGCTTGCGCGACGGTAAAATCAAAAGGAAAGGAGCTCGAGAGATTTACTAGTATTTTTGCTCTTGCGAGAACTTTACCTCGGCATCGCATGCGCGCGAGATGCCTGGTGCCGGGGAACACCAGCAGCGCACCTCAGTGGACATGGAAGACTGCTCCTATCTTCTTCTGTCGGACAGCAAAAAATTCAACGGGGCAAATCACAAATCATCTCAGTTTTAGGCATTATTAGAGTGGTAGTGGGACACCTGTCGCCAACCAAACCCCGTGGGCCGTGGTTGAAAGCCGATGAACACAGCCACTTCTCACTAGCTAGTGATCGTGCTCAGTTTTACAGTACCCTACCACACGATTCTGTCTTTCTTTAGCTCCAGCTTAGATGTGGCTATTGGTAGTTCTCGGCAGGGGCGGATCTATAGATTTTAGAATGGAGGATTTTGAGTCATCTTTAACTTCTACTCCCGTCGTTACTCTCCTTCATATATCTAGATAATTTAGGAGAGGCTCAAGAGAAACTCTATTGTCATAGAGGTTGTAGGGGGCGCTTGGAGGCCCTGTTGATGCAAAGATTAGTCACACATCAGCTTAGAGCTAGATCGCCTAGGCCGTCACGGACCGAAGAACGTAGCGGATAACCAACACGCTTTCACGGTGAAGAGCGGCGAGGTTTACAAACAAACCACCACCGGCTAGTTTATGAGCAAACTAGCAAAGAAACCATTGAAACTCTCGTCCAGGAGGGATTCCGTCGGGCCGGGGTAAGGACACCAGTGGGTTGCCCTAGGTCGGCTGGCAAACCTAGGGCGCCATCCTTGGTCATCGGATAAAGAGGTGAACAACAACATGAGGTTGGAAAAAAAGATTGGAAAAAAGGTATTTAATTTATATATTTATTAAATGTAAAAAGATCGATTGGATGTTGGATATCTAAATCGGCCATGTACCCCCTATTTTATAGGGAGTATGGTGGTCTTATCCCGTTGGAAAACAAATATATTACTATTATTTGCCGCTTCACAAAGTTTTCTTAAATTAGGCTAAAACTGTCATGAGCCTATTTAAATTGGTATGGGCCTAATTTAAATGTCAACAGGCCCCTATCACCCCACTCCCCCAACCCCACATGCGACAGCTAGATCCACACCTCCTGGTTCTTGGCAACTAAAATTAGCCACAAGTAATTTCTGTTGATCACAACTTACTACTAGTTAGTGTTTGGTTGTTAAAGTTTAGTCTGTTTCTCGTAGCCCATATGTCATCAACTCTTTTTGTTTTTTTTTTCCAACATTGCCTATTTTTACAAGGTTATTTTCCTTGACACACCTAGAAAGAATGCGTGTCAAATTAGACGGGCACTGAACGCGTCCTTAGTTCATTTGTATCTGATTATCTTTTTCTTTGCAAACTAAATAAGTTCAACTAAACAAGGTTTTTAGTCGATCCCATATCCCATAATAGAAAGAAATCCTGGACGCCTTTTTTAGGTCAAGGAATAAACATCTGGCTTTACCCCATGTGACCAAGAGAATTAGACCACTTATTACATTAATTTATATCAAAACCAAATGTATCCAACTCAACTCAATTTTAGCATTACTTATCCACCCAAATTAAAGAATCAAAGAACTGCATAGCAGTTGTTTCTAACACACTGCAAACTTGGAAGATTCGCTTTCTTCGAACCATTGTAACAGTGCCCATTTGACGCAACCAGTGTGTTCAACTGATTAGGACCTGCAAAAAAGTTTTGGTTCCACAATTGTCAAAAACTGTTTTATTTCTTGTAAGCCATATATATTGTCCAACAGATGGCAGCACCTCCTAATAATAGCAAGCTATTGTTTGATTTGCCCCCGGTTTGTACCACCCATGAAAACGATCAAGAATATTCAAGGGAGGCTGTAGACCCAGAACCAAGTAAATGGTTTGCCAAAGGAATTTAGCATAGGTACAGTCAAAAAGAGGTGTCTAATTGTTTCATCTCTACAACAAAACACGTATGATTTGTTCCCGCTCCAATTCTTTCTTGCTAAGTTTTGTTTGGTTAAAATCACTCCTCTTTAGCAACCACAAATTTTTAATTGTTTATGACATCATTAAATGCTAGATTTGTTGTGAGATGATGATGACCATATTGATAAGGTGTTAATATATGGAATTTAATGTGAAGGAGCCATTATTTTTGGAAAGCAAAAAAAAAAAAAGTGTCCCTTTCAACTTGTAAACCAATGTTTGCAATTCGTGCTACGGGATTATTCCACTCTAACACCCCATTTCCTTTCAGTGTTCGTTGATCTGAAGAAAACATTAAGAGAAATAGTACTAAGAGTTGAAGCTATTA